GTTACCATATATATATATATATGTATCACATCAGGCAACCCGGCACACTGGTCGCCTCGCTATTCAATTACCCAAGACCAGAACAAGCAGCGGGATGGTCACGTCAGATCTTTCAGGCAAACATATCCAAAGCGGATGCTTTTTCTTGCAGTACCGCCGAGTGCTATGTTCAGCTTCCGATGACGGACCCCCCCACCAGGATTTTTTTGCTTCAGGCATCAGGCTCGTAGGTTTCTGTGACTTGCAACGGTCAAGGGTTTGTAACAATTTCTAGGCTCGTGACAATGAGCATTTCCCACCTTGGGAGTTGGTCCTTCTCAAGTACTGTGCTTGCTCTTGGCCGAAAGATATGGTTGAGTGACCTTCATCAATCCAATCAGAAAGCTTTTGCCTCTTGCATTTGGATTGAGAACCCAAAGGTGCAGGGCCTGCGAAGCCCGAGTATGGAGATGGGCGATGTTGTCAGTCAGCGTTTGGGTGGTGCAAGAGTGCTTTGTTTAGTTTTTGCATGATTGCCTGGGAATCATGCGTTTCTGGGATGGGATCCTTGCACGTCACAGAAAAGTCATCATTTTGGAGGAGAGTTGCTTTGATGCATTCCTGGCAGTGCAGGTTTGGGTATGTGCTGGTGCCACTGCTGGGGTGTCCTGGTTGTCCGGGCACTGTGACTCAGAAGAGCGGTCGAGTGGCAGCGTGTCTTGTTTCTTCACAGTGTTCTATGGTGTTTATGTAAGCAGTCTTCAAAGGTATCTCATGGAACTCCTTTACTCAGCAGACCATGTTTGGCCCTCGCAAGTTCCAGCCAAAGGTTTTGATGCTCCATGAACTGTGGAGTTTGGGCTCTCGAGGTCTTTGTGATGCAGCTGGTCTTCAGCCTCGCTACTGCAATAAGCATCTGGACATGTCTCCTATGGCTGATTCTTGCGAAGTCTTGAGTGCCCAGGTAGCTTGGATACACCCCACCGGCTGATGAGCAAGGCGAGAGTATCACACCGCTAAAGCAGGAGCAGGCTGATGCGCAAAAGGCGCTCTACATCTCGATGATCAGCACCATGACATTCCGCTTCCTCGGATTTGTCTGCGGCGTGGCCCCGTCAAGTTTGAGCACCTGCCCCTGCCGCCACAGTTCCATCCCCGAAGATGCCTGAAGGTGCACTGGATCACTCCGGTTGCCATCCGAGCTTCGTCCTGGATGCTGGGTTTTGGACTAGTGTACGCAGGATCCTGCGTGAGCTGTGCTCTCACCCGTTTCGTATAGAACAACCTTGAAAGTTCTTGCAGGAATCTGCAGGCTTGGAAGCATCTCGCACGGCGGTGTTTCGGAGTGCATGGTGCCGCGGCCCCCCTTCTTGAAGCGGAACAATGGGGGCTTCAGGGAAAAGGGTGTTGTGGGCTCTGCGCAGGTGCTGCGGCTCCTGCGAAGTTTGATGGGCGAGCGCCTGGCAGAGTTCTATGACGAAGAGGGCGAGGCCAGGGTTGGAAGAGGCAAAAATGTGCTTTGTCAACAGATTTTTTCTCGAGGCGTGGCTCGTGGAGGTGAAGGGCAAGGCTCGGATTACAAGGTCTCGCAAGACAAATTTTGGCGTTGGAGTTCCAACTGCCCGCCGCCTTCAGGTTCGCATGACTTTACTTGGTGTGGTGCTGTGCAGGGCTGAGGCTTAGGCACAGCCCGCCCAGGCACAGCATCGAGAGCATTGGAGCTTTCGTTGGACTAAGGATCTGTCTCGTTTCGCTGAATTTTGCCTTAAACTTCGATGTGACTTGCTGAGTGTTTGATGCCCTTGGGTGCAGCATTGCATCCGGCTGTCTCTGAGCTCCTGCCATCCGTCTCATTGAGGTTGTCCTAGCCAAGTCTGAAGCATCGCAAGATGCTTTCCTGAATTTCAGGTGGACATGCTGGTACGCAAAGATGCATGTGGCCCCATGTGAGTCGTCCTGACAGTTCGTCGGCGTTGGCTTTGTTCGCCATTCGCTCACTATTCTTCGTCGTGCGGTTCGAGCCTCAAATACAAACAGAAGCGTCCTCCATGCTTTCATGGGGCTGCGCCATGGCAGGGACTTTTTCAACATGTCCAACCTCACCAGATCCACCTTTGCCGTGGTCGGAGACTTAATGTTAGCATTCTTGCACAAGACGGAAAGCAACTTCACAGGTGTTGTTGCTAATGGGTTTGGAGATGCTTGGTGGCCACGCAGTGTACGTGCTCGCCTCAGAATCCTCAGAACATCTGCAGGCTGCCATGCACAGAGAAGCCTTGGGAAGACCTGCTGGTCAGAACTGGGCACCGATCGGGCTTAAATGCGGTGGAGGACTGAACCTGGGTTTTTCTCAGTAGAACGAATCAGAGCGAACGCATTTCTAGCCAAATTCCACCCTCGGAGGTGTGAGGTACGTCTCGTTGCTCTTGTCAATGCTTGCTCAGGTGAGTGCTCTGATCTCCATCGTTGTGTTTGCCTGCATGCTGGCAGCGACCCAAGTGAGTTGACAGCGTGCATTCCTTGCTTCCCGATGTTCCAAGGTTCTGTCGGTGGGAATCTCTTCGCTTCAGCACCCGATCCCCAAGATGCCTTTGTCGGACCTGCACTCATTCTGAGTGGAACAAACTGGCGTGATTCCAAGACGTGCCAGCACGTTGCCGAATGTGAGGCTACAAAGCTCTGCTAGAACGGCTTGCCTTCCCGTTTGCTCACGGATTTTTTCTAAAGTGTACATTGACAATCTAAGGGAAATCAAGAGAAAACACAATCGGAGGTGTGCCTGGAATCGGGTTTACCATGCCGGCGTAAACATACCAACCTACATAGATATCTCGCCACCTTAGCCACCGACCCAACCATCTCCGTAGACACCACCGACTTCCTTGATTACCGGCTTACATACACACAGACATGCTTGGAGCTGCTGGGTAATGTGGGCACATGGCCCTTTTGCTCGTGCTGCCGCGGACCTAGCACAGCGGTTGTTGCTGGATTGTAACAATTAGCGTGCCACCGACAGAGAGCAAACGCCAGAGGTGGCTCTTCGGCCCAGGCTATGTTGCACACGCAAAGGCAATTCTAGATGCTTGACGTTGCACGACTGTTGAGACGCAACTGTGGCAGGCATCAGACCGCCCGACTTGCGACTGCTGCGACGAGTACACTCTGCCACGCACTTACCTGCCTAACTTAAGCAGATACACTGGCCGAACGTATTTGATCCTGGAACAGCCTCGCTTACTCATGCTCTCGGACCTGTGCTGCGTTTTCAGCGGTTGGATCTGACAGCATTCCAGGTAACAGCGGAACTTGGTCGGTAACAGCGGAAGTCAGGCAGTGACGATACTAACTCTGCGTGGTTCGTTTGCTGTCAGGATGTTCCCTGACACTTCCGGACAATCCTGCGGTTGTTGTAGGGCCTTTCAGCAAGCTGGGCTAGGGTGATTTCTCTGCGGAACCGAATTAGTGTTGTGTGACATCTGCGCTCGTTCCCAGCACAGCCCAGGCATGCATATGCAGGTGAGCTGAATCGACACTGCTTACCAGCATCCTTGCTGCGAAAGAAGCAGGCCTCTTAGCAGAATTGGCCATTTCTGAGTGTTGTTCCAGCAAAGACAGGCTTATTCTAGCTTTTTGGCCGGAAGCAGGAGAGCAGGCAAGGCCCGAACGCAGAGAACAGAGAATCGATCTGGCAAGGAAGACGGAAAGACCGAAGGACACAGGCAAGGAAGAAAGGCAGCAACGCAGGGAGAGGTAGCCAGGAGCGAAAGCGGGATACCACGGAAAGCAGGAAGGACGAAATAACGCTCACGTCTCTTCGTATCTAAAGTTTGTGGTTGTGCGCAGCCGCAGCACAAAAATTCGCCTTACCAGATTACCTCGCAGTACACACGCAATTTGTGTCAATTAGCACAAAAGCACTGCAGCAGTAGCCATGACGACATGCAGCAGATTGCAACAGTTATCAGAGTAATACTAGCAATGGCGATACCAAAGCAACATAGACCAGCAGTGCCAGAGTGCGAATAAACACATACACATACACATACACATACAACAAAGCAGCAGTTCGTACATGAGACGCACGAAGTGTGTAGAGTTGGCAATCGTGAGTGGTCCGAGACTTACCTCAGCAGACAGCAGCGACTAGATGCAGCCATGGCAAGGTAAAGAAGGCAAGAAGGCAAGGGGGTGCAAGTTGCTAGCGTCTCCCCAACCTGCCACCGTGCTGAAGTCACACCCACCAAGCCGGCCAAGCCCAGACATAATTTTTTTGCTTGGCTCACCCTGGAGTCACTGCGACCTGATTGTATGTGAGTGTATATACACATGCATGCATGCGTGACTATTCATGATCATGTATGCATGAACACAGAGCGACATATTGAACAATCGTAAATTCAGCTCAGCCACAGAGGAGCTTGAGTGCCAGCGATAAATATACAGCCGGAATGATGATCCCAGTCGGGCTGCACGTTGGTCACCGTGACTACAGCACATCATCGGGGTGCCCAGTCATCAAATAGTCGCAAACGATGTCTCTGTTTATGCACAGGGACGGGCTTCCGCGTTCATCTAAGGATATCATCGTTGGAGAGGCGCTTGACGGCAGTCCCAGCGTCCCAGAAGAGGCCCTGTGAGGCACTCAGGCTGCCTGACAGCACATCTCCCAACGGCTGTCCATGATTGTTGGTCGAGGAGCATTCTTTGCGCCATGGGCCAAGCTTCTTGCAGTCCGTTTTAAGCTGCTTTTAATCGACAGAGCAGTTGTTGATCTTGGAATTTGCCGAGGCCAGTGCGCTTTGCCGAAGCAGTGTTCTTCGTAAGCCCAGCATGTGACATACCGTGTGTCATATTTGTGGGCTTCACCTGTGGCATCAAATCCGGGCCTGATGGTCCACAGCAGGCTACTGGGCTCGAGTCCGTGGGTGCTCTGAGAGCAGCAGCTGGAAGTGTCGGCCTCGTCTTCGAATTGGACCGAGGGTCTCTTCCCACTGTCTAGATCTGCCTCAGCGGAGGCGTTTCGGCTTTGCTTGGGCCGCTGCGAAGGCAAGCTGAGGTAGTTACAGGTAGTTCTTCCTACTCATCCACTGCGGTTCCGGTCAGCCTCCGTTCGACTCACTCCTAAGCTAGAATGATTTATGTGAAACTGCACGCGGGAGTGCAACGTCTGGCAACTTGGGCTTCAAGGCTTTCTTTCAGTCTTCCTTCACAAGAGCTGGCCAACCCAGAACGCCACAGGCGCTGTGGACTGCTGGGCCCACGAAGTCCCCAGAATGGTGTCCTCATGACGGGCCCTGCAAACAGAAAAGTTCAAGGTCAACGCTACACACTTGCGTCGCGCAGGCAGCTCAACTATCAGCGAGCAACGTGCTGGAAGTAAAGTCTGTCCGAAGGGAAAGCCTTCAGCCCGAAACCGATTCTTGTATGGCGCAGCACTGCAGCACTGCCTACAACCTCACATTCGTTTGCAAGAAGCATGAGCATGCCTGGCAGCCGAGCACAGCCCAAATGAAGAGTCGGGAATGCCAAACAGCATGGTTTCACAAGCATCAGAAGAGCTTGTCTGCGGAAATGCAGTGCAGCAGAGACTGCCACAAGATGCCCAGTGCAAGCAAAGCAGAGTTGCAAGTGCAGTGGGTGCACATGCAACCTCGATTGCCAGGTCCGCTGCATGCGCCTGCCGCAGGTGCTTTTCCATTTCCGCTTTAGTACGGCCGAGTGGAAACTTGTGCTGGAGGAGCGAGAACCTCAAGACGGTGCTCGATATCAGGCCTGCGTCAAGCAGAGTCATCCGTCGCCGAGCAAACACACTTGGCCAAGGTCCTCATGCAAGCCACATTCGGTCACGATGGCCAGCAGGCTTGCTCAAGTCGCGGTTGGGCCTCGCAAATCTGAACCCTCCATTCACTTGATGACATCCATACGCTCGTGGTTTTGTGACCTCTGATTTGTGTCTGGAGCTTTGGGCATGATTCACGAAGCATCCTGCATGGGACCGAACAAAAAGAATCTGGGACTACGATGTCGGTGGTGCATCCACTTTCCAAACCAGGCATGGGTTTGTTTGGGCGAGCAAGAATTGATTTCCAAGTGCGACAGACATGGTGCGAAAACAAGTACTCTGAAACCTAGGCCAGTAGTGTGCCATGCTGTAGACTGTGCTCGCCGAACACCGGGGGGGCAGGCGAAAGATGCAGCCAACTTGGAGCTCGCGTCGATGGCTATCAAGCAGGCAGGATGGGATGTCTGGGATGCAGAACTCTATTCTCAAGGCGGTTTCACTCGGCTTTGTTGGATGTAAGGATCCGCAGCTTTTGAAACTCTGGCGAGGGCCTGCCCAAAGGGATGCCTTCACGATGAATGACAATCAACGCCCATCACCTTGTTACGGGTCTGCTGTGCCTGCAGCCCTGAACAATTCCGAACCGCCAGGATGATGATCCTTTGCGAATGTGAGCGCAGCTGATTGGCCCAAGCAGTACTGTACAATGCAAGGCATCTAAAAAGAGGCGAGAGCCACACCGTGGATATCTAGCAGACACATTTGACATCTGCACGAAGAATACTTTTCCATATCCTTGAGACTGTAGCATTGTCCTCAACTCCTGCAGCCTTGTCATGAGCCTGTGGGCAAAAAGCTGAGCCTTCGTTTTCTACCAGGATTCGCGACTAAACTTGTTACACTCCGCTGGTGCCCAGGTTGACCTGCAAGCAGAAGAAGTAAAGAGACTGGGCCTGTGGAAGATAACACCCGCCCCTGTTTGTGTTGATTTCGTCACAGATCTTGTAGTCCTGCAGGGTTGAACTTGTTTGTGCTTTCTCTAGTGGCTTGTCATGGCTTGTCCTAAAGCCTGCGATGTCTGTGAAGCAGTCTGTCTTGCTGGCAAGGTGTGTAAACAAAGGAAGTTGCCTGAACCACAATGCAAAGAAAACCCAAGCTTGCGGTCGGAGGCAGTGTGATCGGTTATGTGGTCTTAGGCAAAGCTCCAGGGTGCTCAAGGAGCTGGATCTCATTTTGCAGCAACCTCTCTGCAAGTAGGCAATTCCCAGTGAGCTCGGAGTTGCTGCGTAGTCGCTGTGCCTGCTCTGTCGTACTCTAAGGCGTGCTGGGCAAGTGCAGGAGAAGCAGTGGATCGAGACGCGCCAGGCGCTTTAGTGAGAAGAGTCGCCCGCAACGTGCTCCGAAGTCGGAAGGCAGAAATTCTCATCGCTGTGACGATTACCGTTTACGCCTTCTTTATCGGCTTTGAGCTCGAGATCCTCGGCAAGAAGCGCTGAGCTTGTCATAGACGCCGTGCAAACAGTCTGGTCCATACGTACTCGTGAGAGGATCATCGAATTCAGCAGGTTGCCGGATGTTGTCGGTCATCGTCTCCAGCCCCGAAGTTCCGAAAGTGTTTGCGGCAACGCGGGTTCTCGCTTTTGCAAGATTTTGCAAGGGTGGCGCAAGAACTCAAAGAGCCCAGAGCTATGAATGTAGAGGAACGGGTTGCGTCGAACAGTCGTACTGAAGATTCGCGTGGCATGTCTAGGCTATTGGCGCTTGAAGCGTTGTGAACTTTCAACGATCCGCCAAGGATTGAAGCAAACCATGCAGATGTGGCAAGTACCCTTTCGCAAGTATCTTGGCCCAGGCTTAGGATGCCTCCAGGGGGCCGTTTGCGTAAACAGTTCAGTTCAGTACGCGAAACGCGGGCGAAACGCGGACCCGAGACTACAGCTGCACAATGCTGAATCCAGGCATTTCTGATCTGTCACGTGTGGGGCTTAGTTTTGTTGGCTTCTCGATGATTCCAGCCAGTCGGTGATGAACTGAGGTCGTGTTTAACACGGTCTTTGTACTGGAGATAGTTTTACGTGTGCGATCTGTGGGCATAAGGTGTTGCTGCCTTGTTACGTTTAGTTGCCGGTCGCATGTCGGACATGGCAGATACTGTTCTCCGTTCAATCCTGCTGGATTTTTCGTGCCTTAGCTACAATCTGTGGCAATGAGTCAGAGCCAGAGCTTCAGCTTTCTCATTGACGTGCCGAAGCCCTACGGCTTCAGGATGCGGTCATCATTCTCATTGGCACTGTTGAGAACATCGTCTCGGTGGTGTTCGCGATGATGTCACAGGTGGGAATTTTTTTGCACAACTGACCTTTATCGGTCGGACGTCAGCCTGTGATCATGCTCTGATGCCAGTCAAATGGAGCAAAGGGATGCGAGCTCGCACATCATCGCATATCAGTGGCAGGATGGCAGCGGCTCTGTGCTCGCCATCGCTGGCGTGATGCGCATCGTCCGTCTTCTGCGACTCGCCAGGCCTGATGTGCTTGTCGTGCATCGCCAAGTTGCTGGCTTGCATATCTCGAGGCTCCTGCGTGGATTCCTGGTCTGCCAAGAGTTGAGACTTTTAGTCACCGGTACCGGCCTCTTATTCAATGTCGCAGAGTTCTATGAGGGCAACAGCCGGCAAAGACTTTCAACTTAGGTATGATGTTGGCTCTTCCGACTGTGGTCTGGGCTGGAGTGCTTTTTGCCATTGTGGTATACTTGGGGACTATGCTTCTTGGTAGACGAATCAATGCGAGGCAGCACAGTTTTGAGTTTCAAGCGCGAGTGCCCCTTTGTGATCGCTCACACGCCATGTCTGAACGCAGCAGTACGAGTTTCGTGCAAGGCGGACATTCACGGACCAAGTCCCTAGCACGTGGAATGCTGGCATGTGTGTTTATTAATACATGCTTCCTTTTACAACGCTTTGCAAGCGGTCCCCCAAGGTTTACGGTGATACTGCTCGGCAATATTCCTGAACTTGAGGGTTACTTTGGCACAATTGGGCTGGCACTCTGGACCCACTTTGTCATCGTGACCATGGAGACCTGGCCCGACATCGCAGACACCGTCCTAGCTGTGGCAAGTCCACTGTGGGGCGTCTACTTCGTAGTGTCTCTGCTGCAGTTGGTGTGGAGCAGTATGTATTTTCTATGTTGCCATTACTTGTACATCTGCGACAGTCTAGGATTCATGATTAGTTGTTTCTGCTGATATCAGTTATATTAGCGGTTGGCAGTGAATCTTTAGTGGTTCAGTTCTGAGCAGGAGACAATTGTCTAGAAGCTATGTCGTGCCCTTACCAGGTATTCATCTGCATCTCGAGCATGTCGCTAATGAACTTGGTCACAGGGGTCATCGCGGAAAAGTCACTTGGCACAGCGTTAAAGTTTCTCCTTGACAGGCAGTTTTTTGTCATTGCACCGAGGCTTTTGAGCACTAAAGATGTTACCACATCAGAGGACACCGAGGATGAGATGGAGGAGGGTGTTACACAAAACGGGGCGCACACCAATTGAGTGCAAGAACCACTGAAAGACTGCTAGGTTTCGAGTCCTGAGACGTGGTAGTAGCGAAGTTGGCCGACTCTGCATATCAGCCACGAGTAGAGTAGCTTGTGCTGCGGACAAACTTGCACGATCCGTGATCCGGTGTTGCTTGTGTTGATAATCTTGCACCTGTGGTCGGGCAACTGGGAGAAGCATGTGGGCTCTCTTCCTTCTCTTGAAAAATCCCTCTGTTTGCACCGACCTTCAACCCAGACCTAAACGACGCTGTTCGGCCTTTGTTGATCTAGCGAATCTAGCGCTTGCTTGCTTTCACTCCTGGAGGCTTTTCGTCAAGAAAAGGCTGCCTTCAAGCAGGACGTGTGTGAGCTACTGCTTTACGAAGACGACATAGATGTTCGGAGCTAAGCGTAGGAGCCGTTGTGAGACCGTCCGAAGCGAGCATGTCAGCCCAGGTGGACATATTCGCAGGCTTGATGGAGACGATCAAAATGAGAGCCTGGTTGCAAAAATTGCAGGCTTCCGGGATTCCAACCCCAACTTGCCGAAGTCCAGAAGCACAGCGGACACAAGGCATGCAGTTCGCAATACCACCCGCATTTGCATGGCCAGGTGTCTCCTGAACTGCCGGCCAACGATTTGTTCAATCTTCTGGACACAGAATGCAACGGAAACTTGACGTTGGATCAGCTCGTCGAAGGCATGCTGAATTTAAGGCGAGGGACGAACATATGCGTCCATCTTGGTGCCAATACCCGCTGCTGCCAACTCTTACCTGCTCCGTGAGGGGATCCCGCTTGAGGGTGCATTCCCTCCTGTTGCAGCAGGATTGGGGAACTACAGAGTGCTAGTCTGCACAAGTAGACCAAACCAAGATCCTTGCTCGTAACCCTGCAGGACTTGCGTCGATATTGCCAGGACGAGCTGGATGCACTTGCTGAGTCTTGGTGTCCACAGCAACGAACTGCCAAACGACACGTGGTCTGTGCTTTCCGCATGAGAATGCCTGCTAAGGAAGTCGAAACCATTGTGGTTCGTCAAATATCGAAGAATCTAACTTCCCTGAACCAGACCTTTCAGGAGGCCGGCTCCGGCTCCTTGTGACTTATGAGAGTCTCGAGCCTTCTTTCGTGGAGCACCTCCTGCCAGGAATTGCAGAATATGCAAAAGCTAGCAGAGCCAATCTCAACTGCACCAGGTGGGATCTTGAGTTCGCTTCCTTTGGATCTTTGCTTGGATGGATTTACGATGATTTACGGGGGTGTTGTGCCATACACTTCCAGAGAAAATGTAAGGGGTGATCAAAGTGGTACTCTCAGGCTATGGCAAGCCATGGCAAGCCATGGCAAGCCCTGTGCCAGGCTGCGACGACAACTTTTCTGCCTGGATGGCCGAGAAGGAGAGCCTGGAGCGCTTGGTCACGGAGCTGGGGCAGCTAGGATGAACAAAATGCGCACACGTCACACGTACGCTACCAGTAGCTGCAAGATGGATTAGAACCTAAGGCTGTTGGCCGGCACGAGTGATCACCTCAAGTGAGTGCAATGCACAGGGTGGTTTCGAAAAAGGCTCGTGTCTCGACTCCAGCCCACGGCAGTGTGCGCAACAGCTCATGCCAAATGGCAGAGCTCTGCCCACGAACTCCAAGTTTGTTGCAGAAAATTGGTACAGGCTTTTTCAAGGGGTTTCGGAAGGGTCTTCATGGCATCTTGATGGATTTCAATGGCATGTCAATACCGATTGAATCGTATGTTTGAATGCGCTACGCTGCAATTGTAGCTCATGTAATGTTCCCCTGAAGGCGCTGTTGGGAAGCTTGTGGCGTGCTCCACAAGCTTTGACGGCTCCAAGAGAGGCCTTGGGTCTGAGGGCACCGCGAAGCCGAAACTTCTGACTGCAAGGCTGCAATGCCCTGCTGTGCAATAGAGCCATAGCGCTTGTTCGAAAGCTTTGCCACGGGAAATCTTGCATGTACGAAGTTTGCAGGGCCTGCGAGTTCAAGTGGTGGGAGACTTAGCTCACCCTTCAATTCTGGCATGTCATCCTGTTGGACGGTTTGGACCGAGCGCGAGCCGTTCGAGTGAGGCCATGGCAGCCTATGGTCCTCCTATTGCTGGACCCGTGACTTTTGAAATGGCCACCCGGGAGACAACCAGCTGCCCGCAAGCCTGGCCCGTTTCTCTTTAGGTCATCAATCTAAAGCCGAAGTTTGCCGAAGTACAGTTACCGATCACCAGGCAAGTGGTGACAACTTTTCCGTGGCCCGGTGAAGTCAACGTGAAGTCGCTATCCCGGACCTAACGCCTGGAGAGGGCACGCAGTGCTTTGTGAAGTCTGCTTTGCAATTGTTCAATCATTTTCAGGATGGACACAGCTGTGTCCTCAAAGCCACTACCACAGGTCACAGGCGAACGTTAGGTCTGTCGCACTTGCAGGCACAAGTTGAGAACGTGAGATATAATCCTGGTCACTGTTGCCTCAGCGACTCGTGACATCGTTGAGAAGCCAAGAATGTGACATGTAGACGAGGCCAGGTTTGGACTACATCGTCCTTCACTTTGACCGTTGTGTGTTGCCTGCGAGCTTGCACGTCTTGCGCGTGAAGTGTCCAGCAATAGCTCCGTGCGTTCCAGGTACGGTTGCACGGAAAGGAGACGGCAACCCTCTTCGGATCTGGAGCCCGGGGGTTTGGGGGGAGAAGGCTGCTGGTGCGCGTTGGACTACGAAGGAACTCCAGATCAAGCAACCTCTCGTCGGCTCGGCGAAGCTCCACCAGGCTTGGACGACAAACATGCAGGGTGATGTGAAAGTATAGTCTATAGCTATGACTACAGTCTACACCGTAGCCAACTCGAAACAGTTCGCTGGGGAGTTGGTGTCTTAAGGATGTCCGATGATGTCTGGTCTGCCAGCAACTAGACGGAGATCCCTTTTCGACTGTTTGGTTCCTCCACGGAGCAGTCACAAACCAGGTCGCAATCAAAGTGAAAATTCTGCAACCTCGCCGTTTCACTCGCTGCCTGTGCGTCAGGCTTCGAGCTTCCGAGTCTGAGCGATGCAGTCTGCCGACACGACCTGGTTTCGGCTTCTCTTCCGGTCCCGGAGGCCCCTCTCAGCGTGTCAGTGCAGGACGGATGAGAACGCAAACGTGCCAAATGCTGCTTGACCTGATGCAACCTGTGAGTTCAGAGGTGCGAATGCCTGGAAGACTCCCAGCTGCACCAGCTCAAGTTGCATGTGTCAGTGGTTGCAGCTTTCATATTCCCTGCTGCATGCTTCCTTCTCCTGTTCTTTCCATCCTTCGCTTACGCACCTTCTGGCAGATGTTGTGGGCCACTTGCTCTGCAATAGCTTCTTTTGAATCCGACTCAGTGGTCGTCGGTGTGTCTTCTCCCAAAGTTCGGGTTGAGGCGGAGACGTGAAAAACAAGTACCTTCTGCAGCACAATATTGTGCAACGATCCACGCGAAGCTGCGCAGCCGTCTCCGCGCAAGCACTCCAAAATGAAGGCGTGCGTTTGAACATGCTTTGCGGAATGGAGTGCATCCGGCTGTTTCCCTGCACGCCAAACATCTTGAGTTCATCGGGCTCTTGGCTCTTGGTGGCTCTCCCGGGACTGGGGCCGAAAGTTGGAACACGACCCCACATGCTTTCTGTTCCTCAATCAGAGCATTTCGGGCTTGGCCAAGAGATGCCATACCTAAAGTGAGGAACTCTTATCTTCCGACCTGACAGAGATCTGAAACCTGGATGCTGCTACACCTTCCACTTGGATATGGAGGCACGAAGTCTCCACCATGGCTTCCGGTGACTGTACGGTTGAATACGAACTGGCAGGCAGTAACTTCGTGCAGCAGCCAAACACCTCTGTGCGAGGAAGCGCAGCTGACAGGTTTTGATGCGCTTTGTAGAGCCGGCAGTTACCATCGCAGGACCTGAAGCTCGACTTTTGCGTGAAGTGGCCATCCCCGAAAGCCACGACATGGCTGCACGATGATCGCTTCCTTCAGGCTCCAAAGGGACGCCTCGGCCTCGACCAGCGATGAGAAAGGCTGCCAGCGTTCCTTCAGGTGGTCTTCAACGCGGCAGTAAACCTGAACGGAACTTCCCGCCGGATACAGCTGCGAGCGGGACCAGAAGCCGATGCCATCCCGGAAGGCCGAGACGGCAGACATGTGGCTCTGCATGGCTCTGCAGCTCCGTCTGATGCTGCGCTTCTATCAGGTGGGCCTGGGCAAGAAGCTCCGGAGAGGGTGACTGCTTTGTTCACCTTACAGCCCAGCAAACGCCTTTACTGGATGTACGGAGACGGCAACTTTACATCCGGAGTTGGCACAGCCTCTTGGATTTCAGTGAAGGGGTCAGCATTCATTCGTGCCACAGTCGCATGTGGAATTGCTTTCGAGGTAGAGGACAACATGGATGGTACAGGCTCTCTCTTGGAGCAGCCTGCTGCGCCCCCGGATGGCCCCGTCAGTTCCAACCACTTGGATCTTTGCTTGCAGCCCTTGTCGTTGAGCTTGGGCATGCTTCGGCCGGGCTAAGGTGTACTGCACCCATGTACCCCATGGGCAGGCGGTCTCGGAAAGTCACTTTTGCCACTGTGATTCTGGTAGTGCGCGCCCTGACTCGCAGGCTGCTGGGATCCAGACTTGCGAAGATCATCGCAGCTATGAGGTGGACATTTGTGAAGTGGAAGGAAACTGTCCGGACAAAGAGAAGCTTCCCTGTGGCATGTGGTGAGCTCAGTTTCATCAGGGTCTCCTGCTGATCTGCATGTGCCCTGAACCCAGGATTCTTGAAGCAGATTTTCAGGCCGGCATGGCCATCAGCCGCGGGGTAGTCAGCCGGACAATGACCCAGACGCATCACACACGCGGCTGCCATCCTCCGGAGCTTGTCAAAACACTCAGGACAGGTCTGCAGAGTCAGAGAGACATGTCGTACCATTCTCCTCAGATGCGACATACAAAGCCGAGCCATGTAGGGTGAGCAGTGAGGAAGGAACTTTTAGTAAGGAGAGGCGCTTGAAGAGCTCCAGACTTCAGCTGTCACGAATCGACCGGCCCCGACAAAGCGGAAGTTGGAAGCTTGCGCGGTGGTCAGCCTCGTACTGCTACAGGCTTTACTTTCCCACTGCACTCGCACTCTTGTGTAAGCGAAAGGTGATGGCATTCTTCCTGTTCCCCGTATCCGAGTGACAATCTACAGACATATCGAGGGAATCGCCTGAACTTGAAGCTAACGGCCAAGCATGTTCCATTCGTGGTGTAGTCGCAGTTGGGCGAATGATGAATTATCGCTGTTCCCGAAAACTGTTCAGTATTGTCAGTGTCAAACAGTGAGTTGAACGACTCGTTCTTTTTTTGTTCCAGGATATTGGGTGCAGGGTCCCCCGGTTTGCCAATCATTCTTTCAGACAGGATATATACATGTTAGACATGTAGCGTTTGTCGAGTTATCCACTGCAGATGTCAGCGATTGCTGGCCTTCATACGGGTCTGCTGCAGATCTCTCTTCTTACAGTGCAGGGCTGGCTGGGGTTTATGTCAGGATTTTTTGTGTGCTGTCTTCCAGTTGTTCATGAGGGGGTAGGATTGGCTGATTTGCTTCTTGTTCTCATCAACTCTGTAAAGGGTGTGCGGTCCACGGCTTTCGGTATTCGGGCGTAGTGTAGTGTTGACCGTTGTTCGCAAGGTCGAGGCCACCAGGGTTTGTGGTGAGCTTCCCTGATTCGAGTTGTCTTCTTGCTTCCGGTGTGATGTGCACCTTTTCTGCGTTCAGGGCTGGGCAGGTTGTTTTGGGGGGTGGTGGTGCACTTGGCATGAACTATTTTTTGGGTCGAATTGCTTTGTATCGCTTGGGCTTTGCCATGCATCCCTCTTCCGAAGGCTCAAGTTTAGGGATATCAATGTTGATTCAAAGCTCAGCTCATGGTTATCCCGGATGCTGTTCATATCTCGTTTAAAAAGTTTGGTTCGCAGCCCATCCGAAACGAGGGTGCTGCGCATTAATTTGGCGTGTAGTGTTCAGGGTTGGCAAGTTGTTTTCCCTTTGTATATGCTTTATGCGAGCTGCCAACTGCCTCGATAATGCTACCATCGGTCTGTTTTGGGCAAGGTTCAGCTATTTCTGTAACGAGGGTGAGTTGAGAGTCTAGGTTGTGTTATGTATCACTCTGCCAGGGGTAGTCTAACTTCCTTGAGCTAAGGGTTTGCTCCACTCTGCACCATTAGTTTTTGGGCTGTCTTGGGCTGCCCATCGTTTTTGAGGGCATAGGCTTCGCTGTCTGTGGCTTCGGGTTTGCTATTTGTGCATCATTCCTCTGCAGTGCTCGGGGTTAGCTAGATAGAATGTATTTGGAGAGTTTGGGATGTTTGGGCTTGCAACTTTTGCAACCTCTTTTTGGTCAGCGTCGCTGAAGTTGAAGGTTCATGGTCTGCTACGCATGCTGCTTTCAAGGATTAAGGTTTGCTGCACATGGTATCGGGTTTGATCTGCACCAGTCTTTGGGATTTATTTAAAGGTTTGGCAAGATGTTATCGTCCTGGTTTAGGGTTCATTTGCTGATCTTTTGGCTTAGGCATTGCTGCATGTAGTCTTTCTATTTAGTTTCTTCCATGGCTTTGGGATAGCCAGTGATCACAGCTTTGTACTGCTCAGCATTTGTCTAGAGGGCATCGGTGTTGCTGCCTGTTGGTTTGGGTTTGCAATGCATCGCTAGTTCTTAGGGCCTGTGCTGGCGACATGAGGTTCAGTTAGGGCTCGCTGCTTTGTTTGTCGCCCACCGCTTCTTTAAGATTTAGGGATGAAGCTTGGCTAGATGAGTATGCATCTCACGATCAGAGAGCACCGTTTTTGGTTATGCCATTTGCAAGCATGGCGGTTTGCTGCACATGGCTTCGGGGTTGATCCGCGGTATTTGTGTGCATTTTTCGGGTTTAGCTTTGTCAGAATGTTTTGACAAAGGTTTTGGTTTCATCTGCGGCTGCCCATTATCGTTTTGCTTTGGCTTTGCTGCTTGTTGCTTTGTGTTGTTGGCATTGCATGACGCAGGTCACTTCGTTTCAGGATTGAGGTGTCCTGCCCATGGTTTCGGGCTTGCTGCCCATCGACTCGGGCATCCCTCTGTTTAGCATTTAGGGTTTAGCTGTTTCAATAATGAGGTTGAGGGTTCATGGGGTGCTAGGCTGTCCTGTTGAAGTTCCCATGATCGCTTTCTTGGAGTAACGATGGCTGTGCGCTCGAAGCCATTTTTTCTCGGGGCAATGGTGGCAAGGTTTTTAAAAAGTTCGGGTTAAGATTTGGAAACCGATGTGGTAACGAAAAATTGAGGAGGGGGATCCTGGTGTCATGGTGTTTTGCTACTTGTCGTGTGGCCCTTTTCAAGGTGCTGCCCATGGGTTCGAGTTTGACACCCACCAGCTTTTCGGGAATAGGATAGTGGGAATCGAGTGTTTTACCCTATGCCGTGCGTCTGCTGTTATGGGACTTAAGCTTTGCTGCGTTGGTCGGCTTTGTTGTGTTTTGTTTTTTTTGTGTGTGGTTTCGGGATGGCTAGCGCTTAGATGTATGTAGCCCCGGAGTTAACGTTGTATCTTGTTCTAGAGTCGATTGCGTATCATGTTGCTCAAGATGTCGTTGTGACAATTTTAACTTGAGTTGAGGTTTCATGGTGCGGGTCAAATTCGTGAAGGCTTGCTGCCCACCCCTGTGGGCTTGATCCGCGTTTTTTGGGGCTTCTGGCTGTTTCTGAGATGCTTAGTGGCAGTCTAGTGATTTATGAGGTGCTGCTCAGCATTTTTGGTAGAGGGCATCGGTTTTGCTGCTTGTTGCTTCGGGTTGGCCATGCACCTTCTTTTTTAGGGCCTGTGTTGGCGACATGAAGTTCAGTTTTGGGTTTACCTTATCTCGGACTTGGAGCTTCAGCCGGGTGTGTCGACAAGCGTTTTTTTGTTTAGGGATTTGGCTTGGCTAGAAGGTTAGGCATTTTACAATCAGAAAGCATTGCGTTTGTTTTTGCCCTTTTCTTCGATTTTGATCCGCGGTATTTTTGTGCATTTTTCGGGTTTAGCTTTGTCAGAATAATTTGACAAAGGCTTCGGTTTCATTTGCAGCTGCCCATTATATCTTTTTGCTTTGGCTTTGCTGCTTGTTGCTTTGTGTTGTTGGCATTGCATGACGCAGGTCACTTCGTTTCAGGATTGAGGCGTCCTGCCCATGGTTTCGGGCTTGCTGCCCATCGACTCGGGCATCCCTCTGTTCAGCGTTTAGGGTTTAGCTAGTTCCGTAATGAGGTTGAGGGTTCAGGCCAGGGGCTGCTAGGCTGTCCTGTTGAAATTCCCATGATCGCTTTCTTGGAGTAACGATGGCTGTGCGCTCGAAGCCATTTTTTCGCGGGGCAATGGTGGCAAGGTTTTGAAACAGTTCGGGTTAAGATTTGGAAATCGATGTGGTACTGAAAAATTGAGGAGGGATCCTGGTGTCATGGTGTTTTGCTACTTGTCGTGTGGCCCTTTTCAAGATGCTGCCCATGGGTTCGAGTTTGACACTCACCAGCTTTTCGGGCTTAAGGTA